CGTTTCGGAACTTTTAGCTATCTTAAATCATATTCAAATGGTGACTCGTACGAGCGCTATATATCTGGACTAATCCCATCAATTGCTCTTGACCCATACACCTTGCTCTGTCATGCGCACTTCAAATCCGCTTACTTAGTGACATGGAAGTGCGAATGACATTAACTTTGATAGTTTGTTAGGTTATAAAATTTCATTATCTATTTCAAAAGTTTTTCATGATGTTGAGTTTTCTTTATGATTTCATTTGTGTACACTTATGTACAAAAGTTGTTGATCTGAGGTCATACATATATATCTTTCGATATATATCTTGATATTATGACTTGTGTAAAATAAGCCCAGTTATGTGAATGTAACCTTACGTATCGGATGCAGCAGGATGATGTTGATGATGATGATGATGAATCATATGACATCAATCAAATAATAAAAATCTAGAAATCGGCTCCAAGAGAACGACTAGAGTATTAAACACACTACAGCACACCTTTGCATGCTTTCCAGCAATTTTCAAGATAAGTATTCTACTGGGAGAATATTCAATTCGCTAGTTTTCAAACCGCGATAAAATTCATTTTCTTAGTATGCAAAATTTTCTCAAGAAAGCGTCCATATAGTCACCTATTAAGGATTAAGGATGCAAATTGAAGCGAAAACTAAGAATTGAGGATTAGAGCATAGAAGTAAAGGCGTCAAGATTTAAAAGAATAATGAAGATTTTTATATGCCCATAAAGGTCTTGCGCTCAAATTTTACGATATATTATAATATATGTATGGTTCTTAAAGGGTATCATATATGTGCTTGTAATTTTTATTGTAGAACCTTGCAGCTTCGATGGTATTCTAMTACAGCTCCTCCACAGCCTGAGCCTCAACATTTCGGTCAATAACAAYCATCTGGTTGCAGCGTTTTCACAGGTGATGGACGTTAAGTAGAGAAAAAAAGTTTAATATTTCTAACGTCATATWTCTTGTGCAGAGAAGCAAGATTCCTGTAAACTTTATAATATTTGAGCCTTCCTGCTCCCCAAAGACGGWGCTCTCTTACAGAGTCATYACGGAGGCAACAAGAGTTTTCGCTTTGTCATTGCAAACCATATCTTCCAACATGGCATTTAGCYTTGCAACGATGATCGAAGGAAGTCTAGATGAAACTGCTATCGTTGCCAGTAATACTCTCAATAAAARCCTTAAAGCTAAACGAGGAATGAAAATACATCATCGAGGCTTTTACATTGATGACATCGCTCAGGAGGGAAACATTGAAGTTGAAGCAAAAAGCTTAGGGGCACACGGAATTCTACTTTTTAATCCGAGCAATTTCCTGAGATATCCCGAAGGAGTGCAGAGCAATCACTTATTTTGGACTATCGTGAGACCAATGAAGGGCAGATGGCGCTTTATTTCTGGAGCTACAGACTTGCAGTTTGGGGTGAGATACTTTTTCACAGGATTTGAATTGGSTGTTAAAGTACTTTGCAACGCGTAAGCCGATTATAGGTCTAAATTAAACATAAAGCGTTACAAATGATAGACAAATTACTATACTCAAATGATTTTCTGCCTGCATGATTGCCTGTACAGCATTCTTACGTATTGACAGAGCTTGACCTGGTTTTGATTGTCAGGCAAAAGGATTCAAATTGCTTACCCGGTATAATCAATTAGGTACACTTTTAAAAATGTAGTCGACGAATCTTTCTTGAGTTCTACATATATTTCGTTTTGACTTTCATAGGTTGCGTAGCTGAAAAGTGCTTGTTTAGGTTTTGATGTTGCTTGATTCCATGAGCATACTGTATAGGCCTTCAAATATTCGAACCAGTTTTCTAGGACAACTTTGTTTTGCAAACTTGCTTGAGGAAATATCACAATTATTTGTCCTCCGTCATCTGTTAGAATAAAGTGAAAAAATAATAGCCTGCAGATCCTTTGCTGCTTGAATATAGTTGCGTTTGGCGACTATAAATCTCTTTTACACTATATTAGCCTCAATTTTGTGTAAAATATGAAGAAATTTAGGTAAAATTTGTGAGATTCAAGCTATTTTCACTGTGACGGATCTCGTGCATTTGCACGGACTAAAGCGCCGTTTACACGAGCAATTTTCTTGACAAGGAAAAATTGTCCGTGTAAATGGTCAACAAGTTTTCCTCGACGATTCATCATTGACTATGTTTCTTTGCTAGTGTAAACGAAGAACAAGTTTTCCTTGACAAGAAAAAAATGCCCGTGTGAATGGTCAAGAATTTTTCCTTGCCAAATTTCGTTCTCGTCCAATTACACGAGCAAATTTCGTCCTTGACAATTTTTCCTTGTCAAAGGAAAATCGAACATGTTGGTCTTGATAAGGAAAAATTGCCCATTCAATTTACCCCATTTACACAAGCAATTTTTCCTTGTCAAGGAAAACTTGTCAAGGGCAAATTTTTAAATTTAAATTTAAATTAAAAAAAAAAAAAAAATGAAATTACGATCCACCTGAAACGCAACGATGGCGCGAGCGTACGTTATACTCATCAAAACACGGTTTTTGACCAATCACAGCTCATGTTATATACCAAGTATTTTGGAATTAATTACAACTTACACAGCATTCATAATTTTATACCTGGAATCTTGAAGTACACAGAGTCTTCGTTGATGACTGTCATTTGGGGCGTGTTCTCCATTGTTCGGCTATTAAGCTCACAGAGGGACTTGTCTCTGTAATAGTTTATACTCCTGCAGCCCGGCTTCGCGGCACAAGTCCTGTAACAGCTATCGATATCACCGATTGTCAAATTCGACATCACATGGTTTGCGAGTTGTACTCCCCATACYGAGGTTTGACAGTCGGCTTCAGTCATTTGAAAACTAAATGCCCAAATCATTCCGGCAGTAGAACTTATTAAAATCGCCGAAACTCTGGACTTGCACATTTTAGGTTTATCAGTTAAATTTGTAGATGGCGTGAAGCTCTACCTTGTCTGGTCAGTGATATAGTGTATAATAATACACTTTATTATATGGCTTGTAAATTTCCTGAATTCTGATTGGCTGACGTGCGGTCCGTCCAAAGCCGTATTGGACCGTTGCTATGGTATCGGTTCAACTTCCATATTTTCCGTAAGTTGGGCCGGTGGAATCGATACATCTTTGTTTATAAGATTTGCAACCTTTTCTTTGCAATAAAAAAATTCAAACARCATCCATCTTTTAATGATCTCAAAGAAAGATGGTTCAATTTCAACTACTCCCGTCTTTTTGTGCGCGGTCGCGTCTTAGTGACTTGACTTTCCCGCTCTTTTCCGAGYTGACCGTACAGTTGTTTTCAATGCCAACGGCATTAAGTCAGCTTAGAAATGCTCGAAAMGTATTCACCACAATTTMAAGATATCCCAAAAAGGATTACATCATGGAAGAAAAACTCAATGTCAAGTTTTAAAAGCTAAAAAGAAGCCTAAACATAASTCCACARACTACTCAAAACAAAAGTGAAAAGCCRAAGGGATTGACCRGTGTCTTGGCAAGAATGAAATCCTCTTCTTATAAAGTCTACTTTGCTCGATTCAATGACTCCTCGGTTGCTGGAAAAGAAAGAATATTGTAATTCTATATTGAGAGAMATCCCGACTTCGTTGGTTTTTAAGATGTAGGTACTGAAAACACAAGAAAAGTTTGAATCAGTGTGTCAGCTCGTTCAAATGCGTAGCTTTCTCATTCAAAACACTCAGCTGAAAACAGGCGAACTTTCAAGCACTTCGCGGTGTATAGTCGTCGTCTATCGAGTTTACTTTTGCAAATGCTCGATGTAATAACATCTCGGTTGATGGAAGAGAAAGAAAATTGCAATTCTTTATTGAGGGACGTCCACTTCGAAAAAGTAAACAAATCTGCACCGGCGGCCGCGAYGATAAAAGAATCAGAGAAAATTTGTGAGTAAGCATTYGTGAGTAATTTGTGTGTATGAAAATAAACTGAATCTATGAACAAASGAGTCAAAATCCCCGTCTTTTTAGCCGACAATTACTGAAAATATGATGGTTTCTTTGTCATTTTACTCATATCATGAGATATTTGTTGAGAAAAGCGTTGCCATCAGATAAAGGGAGGCAACGAGGTTGCAAGTTGACCAGTKWGACTTCTCCTACATACTTTGAGTAATTCTTCTACATAATCTAGAATGTAAAAGCCATACTAATAAACGAGTTATTAACCTCGCTTGCTCGATCTGTACGGGAAAATATCAGACCTCGGTCTTTTATGTACGCCCCCTGTCCGTACAGYCAAGACCTCGGTCTGATATTTTCCCGTACAGACCTCGCGCTCGGTTAATAACCTATTTATATATGTGTCATGTTACCAACCTTTAAGAGAAATATTCCTTTCATAATCTTTGCATGGGCAACTCTTAATCTGTCAAGTCCAGACATGTGGCATAAAACTACATATTAAAGTTTGGTCAAAACTCCAAAGAAAATGCAGCGTTACTGAAATCTTTAATTATCAAGTGCAGGGGAGGCAAATTCGTAACTGAAAATGAAAAGCATGTAATCAAACGATTTGTAAAGTTTCAAATCCAACTTTTACAGTTTTTGATTAGGCCGATAAGTAAACGCAGACAGTAATCTTCCTTAAGGYGGCTAAATACGAGAAACAAAAACCCTCWACTTGGCGCGAAACATTGTTTTTGTTCAAGTTGAGCATCSCTGTTTCTCGTTTTTCACGATGTTTTTTTGTTGTATAACAAGTTGACGATGCATGAAAAACGAGAAACTTTGATACTCAACTTTAACAGAAACAATGTTGCGCGCCAAGTTGATGGTTTTTGTATCTCGTATTTAGCCGCCTTAAATGGAAGCGTATACATTATATTATTACTTATTTCATTTTATCATTTCAGCTTATTTCCGTGTACGCTTGCTCGCAAAAACAGATTTTTGAGATATATTCATGTATTTTGTAATCTTTTAATGAAAACAAAAAAGAAAGCTTGTGCCTATTGAAATTAAACAGTAGATTGAACAAAAGACATATACAGTCAATTGAAGAAATTCTGACCGCTAACTATATATTAAGATAAGATAAGATATTTCGATAATTTAAACCATTTATTTATAATACTATACAATTTCAAAGTACTTCAATGATTTGCGATCTGTTTTATCAAGAAAAGAGTAAAATCGCATGAATTTATCAATGAATCACCTGATATAATGATAAATGTTAATGATTAG